CACGTGATTTTAATTGTATGTATCGCAGTTTAAAAATAAACTGTTTATCAGTGTGTAAGTAAGGGCTGGGGATAGGAAGTGATGGACAGGAGGAGAATAGAGAGGGTGGGGCTTCAAGGAAGGAGCAGGGCGGTAGATCCTCACCTGTTCTGAGATTTAAAAAGTGATCTTGGGTGTTAAAAGGTTGGAGACCACTGTGCTACACAGAATTCAAACAACAAACCTGGCTGCCAGAGCACAAGGAGAGTTTGGGAGGGCTCGTTGCTGGGCTGTGCATTGAAGCATCAAACCAGCCCCCTCCTCTGGGGCCTGTGAGTGTTGCTGTCCCTGCTGTATAGACAGGGCCAAGGAGACAGGGAGAGGTTCACTGAATGGGCCAAGGTCACTGTCATTATCATGAGGGTTAGCCAGCATCCTGGGGACTAAGGGGTTAACTATGTCCCTTTCCTAAACCAGGTGGCAGGCAACCAAAAGAGATGTAGGTAGGAATTTCTAACAGGGACAAAGGAATTTTTGTTTTTTCCCTCTCCTTTGACCTGTAAAGTCCATCTCCACCTACTGAAACCATTCTTCACTTTCTGTAAGTGTGCATGTGGCTGGTAGTTGTTGGTAGATGGATCTAATCACATGTAGCTTTAGTGAAACACCTTGTTTGCCTAGATCAGTCTGTGTCACTGGCTCAAGGGTTCCTCTCCTCAGTGTGCTGCAGAGACTGTGTTAAAGGGCCTCAGGGAGCCCAAACCAGAGGGAGCTAGGATTCTAGTCCCATTGACCCCCTCAACACACACACAGCCCAAGCCCCTTCATTCTTCCAATACCTTGCCTCAATTTGTGTACCCACCCACGTCCTCACTCCCTGAGTTTTCTGCACTCCACTCCACACTTTCATTTCTTACAGGTCCTGTCATATCACAACCCTCTCCTGCCTTGACTGTTTCTCCACCCAAGGAGGGGGTCTTGCAGGTGCAACAGTCTTATTTTCACCCCTAGGAGCAGCTCCACCATGCAAGGGGACTGGCAGGGGCAGGACATTACCCTTCAGAGCAAGAGTGCATGTGGCGATGACATAAGGGTCTTTTGCAGCATCTCAGCTTATTGGCTAAAGGAGGTTAGGAGGTGATGACTTCACAGGGAGTCCATGACAACAGCCAGGTGGAACAGGCCACAGGGCAGGAACAATCTCAGAGACCCCTATGGCTTTGCTATAGAGATTTCTAGCAGGCAGTGGCAGCCTTCTGACAGTATGACAATGTGTCAGGCATTCCTTGGGCAAAGAACAGGTAATGCACATGCTATACTTGATGTAAAAATCCCTAATTGCTAGGTATAATGTAATGAAGACATAAAAGGGAATTAACATCCACAAGTTACATTGTTAACATCTAACGAGCAATCTCCAAGTAGAATTACTAAGTAAATCAAATTCTCTAACAGTACGAGCTTGCATTTTTAAGCTCCAGCCTTATCTATCATGGCTGTTAGATATTTAAAGGGAATGGATATTTAAATTAACGTTTGCACAATTTTCAATTCGGGTCATTTAGCCTGCTGGTTGTTATCCACACAAAATACTCATTTTCTCTAGGGGCACCCACCATTGCTCATTTGTAGGGCTCAGGTGTAACCCTCTCGATGTAAAAAACAACAAATAGTCTGGTAGCACGTTATAGACTAATAAAACACGTAGACAGTATCATGAGCTTTCATGGGCACAGCCCACTTCTTCAGATGCCTGGAGTTATGAGTAGAGGATATGAAAACTGAAAATAAATAGGAAGAGAAGGAGAGGGGGGAGAAAAAAGAAAAAAAGGAAAAAGGAAGGGGGTGAGAGAGATAGGGCATAATTAAGTATCTGGAGAATGGGTACTTAAACCTAAGCAGATCAAAGTAAATAGATAAATGCTAAGACAGGAAGGATACCACTCTCAGAGCTGTTAGCACCTTCAGTGGTTATGAAGTAGGTAGTGTCCTAGCCAGCCAGTATCTCAATTGAGTCCATTAGCATGTGAATTGAATTTGTGGATGAAGTGAGATTCCAATGCTTCCCTATGTATTTGGCTTGTGGAGATGGCCTCTGATAAGACCTGCAGGTCTGTTAAAGTATGGTTAGGTAAGCAGAAATGTTCACCAATTTTTGTGTTCCCTTTACGTATATCTGATTTGTGTCTATTGATTCTTTCCCACAGAGACTGTCCAGTTTGTCCAATATATATAGCAGTGGGGCACTGCTGGCATAGATCAAATTACTAGATGTGCAGTCAAATGACCCTTTGATTTTGTGGCCCACCCTCACCTGTTTCTAAGGCTCAGGTGTAACCTTACACTTTACGCATCTCTGGACTCTTATCAGTGAAAGAACCTTATGCAGTAATATTCTACTTCATCTCTATTTATTAACACTCATCACAAACAGATGCACACATCAGGCACCCAGTGCTCACTGCATCCAATGAGACAGATGAACTCACCTTGATGAGCAGTCAGGATCAGGTACATCTGGGGGACTTCAGTTTCACCACTGCCATTGGCACAGGGTTGAGATCTGGCAGCTCTACTCTCAGCTGTGTCCTGGAGTTGGTTCCCCAATAATTTTCTTTTGGACCCAAGTTTATATAGTGAAACCTGAGTCCTGTTTAGCTCTATCTTAATCAATTGTTTTAGTTTAATTTTACTAACCAATATAATACACTGTAACAGAATTACCTAACCCAATCATATTCTTCCACCTTCATTGATTTACACCTAGCAAAATTAATTATACAGCAGACAAATAATTAAACCAGAGATCATACAAAGCATAAGAAAGTGAGGACTATAATTAGAAAATAAGGACTCCACAACCTCAGCTATTGATAAACAGTTTCTTGCCAGACAAAATGTTATTCAACTAAGTTTTCTTTACCCGTCTTGAAATCTGTTTTTTTATCTGGTGACAGTGGGTGCCATTAGGACAGGCTCCTTCTTAACACCCTGATATTACACTAGTTCGGTGTTTCTCAGATGGTGTTCTGCAGAACCCTGGGTTGCCAAGAAGCAAAAATAAGGGTTCAGTGAGAAAATTCCATTACAGCCTGAATTATTGTAATAGAATTTTCATGCATTTATGAATTTTATTGAAAACAATTTTCATTTGTTTGCCACAGTAAGTGTCCCTGTGTAATGCCAGCTTAGCCTGAGAGTGAGGCCGACGACATCACAAACACAGGCAGTCAGGGGGTCTGCAAAATTCTTTTGAGTTCAAAAAGGTTCCATGGCCAAATACAATTGGGAAACACTGCATTAGTTTAATACAATTTAGATGGAATGTGAGTAGGAGACTCCAAACTTTATAGCTGTCTGCTTTTCTTCATTCTGGCTGTAGGGGGAGGCATTAGGCCTTCAAATATGGTTAAAGAAAAACTATACTGTTATAGTTGCTTCATCCTTTCTGGCCCAGGGTCACACAGATATATAGCACAGACAGTAATATACATTCAAAGGCCATGCATCAAAAATCATGAATTTTTAAAGAGACATACATTTTGATTCCTTTTATTTGCCTTTTTGTTTCCAGTACCGAGACCTGCCTCCTTTCCATACCCAGCAGCTCCTATGTTCATAAATATGCCAAATAGTGCCTGAGCCATGCCAAAAGCTGGAGAGCTGGTGATGCTTATGATATGTATTTCACATCTACACATACATGGTCTTGATATCATAGAATCAGAGTTGGAAGAGACCTCAAGAGTTCATTGATTTTTAACCCCCTACCCAAAGCAGGACCAACCCCAGCTCAATCATCCCAGTCAGGGCTTTGTCAAGCCATGACATAAAAATCTTGAGGGATGGAGATTCCCTTCCAGTGCTTCACTACTTTCCTAGTAAACTAGTTTTTCCTAATATCTAACCCAGTGGTCTCCAACCTTTTTACACCCAAGATCACTTTTTAAGTCTCAGAACAGGCAAAGATCTACTGCCCCGCCCCTTCCTTGACGCCCTGCCTACACTGCATGAGGAAATCTAATGTAAATGTACTGCACAGGTGCGCAGTTCAGAGAGGGCTCAAGAGCTACTCTTAGAGCCCCTGAGATCTACCGGTAGATCGCGATCTACTGGTTGGTGACCACGGATCTAACCTATATTTTCCCCACTGCAACTTGAGAACATTGATCCTCATTCTGCCATTTCTTACTATCTCGCTGCATCCTTCTGGTAGTTAAAGGCTGCTATCAAATCCCTCTCTTTCTTCTTAAATTAAATAAACCCAAATCCCTCAACCTCTCCTCGTAAGCCAAGTGCTCCAGCCCCCTCATAATTTTGGTTGCCCTGCCTGGACTTTCCTCAGTGCATCCATAGAATTTCTGTAATGGAGGCCCAGAATCTGCTGGCAATGCTCCTCCTAATGCACCCCAGTATACTGTTAGCCTTCATGGCAACAAGGACACACTGTTGACTCATATATAGCTTGTCATCCACTGTAATCCCCAGGTCTTTTTCTGCTGATCCTGCACTACAGAAAATTACATTGTTTAATATACTTTCTGGATCCAGGCCTTTGCAATGATGCTGCATCCATAGACTCCGACTCTGTGGGTACCATGGGGCTACTACATCCATAGAAAAAAAATGTGGGACCCACTGGCAGCCCCATGGATCAGCTCTGCCCCTCATCCCATTCTCCCATGCACCACTGGGCTCCACAGATCAGCGTCTCCCTCCAAGCAGAGCTTCATGAGAAGTAATTCTTCTGCTCAACTCTGCACTGCTTAGGCTTAACTGAAGTATTGTGTTGAATTCTGGGCACCACATTTCAAGATGTAGAGAAATAAGAGTCCAAAGAAGTGCGTCAACTATGATTACAGTTCTAGAAAACATGACCAAAAAGGGGAGACTGAAAGAACTGGGTTTGTTTAATTCAGAAAAGAGAAGACTGAGAGGGGACATGATACCAGTTTTCAAGTACCTAAAAGGATGTTACAAGGAGGAGGGGAAAATTATTCTCCTTGACCTCTGATGATAGAAGTATCGGCGGGCTTAAATTGCAGCAAGGGAGGTTAGGGTGGACATTAGGAAAAACTTCCTAACTGTAAGGGTGGCTAAATACTGGAATAAATTGCCTAGGGAGCTTGTGCAATCTCCATCATTGGAGTCAAGTGCAAATTAGACAGACAGCTATCAGAAATAAAATGGTGTTGGACCTCTGGTGAAGGCAGGGGACTGGAGTTGATGACCTTTCAAGGTCCCTTCCAGTTCTAGTGTATTAGGATTTGATTTTATGATTCTATGATTTTCCTGTGTAGATTGTATCGTGATTGTTAAAATCTGAGTGCCAAATCAAGGTTTTCCCAGAATCAAAAAGCTTTTCCTATGTGAATGCTCCAATGTTTAACAAGGCCTCACCTCTCCCTGAAGCTCTTCCCACAATCAGGGTTTCTCCCCTGTATGGATTCTCCTATGTCTAACAAGAGGTGAACTCCTACTAAAACTTATCCCACAGTCAGGGCACCTGAAGGGTTTCTCCCCTGTGTGGGCTCTCCTATGTGTAACAAGATGTGAGGTCCTACTGAAGCTCTTCCCACAGTCAGAGCAGTTGAAAGGTTTCTCTCCTGTGTGGATTCTCCTATGTTGATTAAGATGTGATTTCCAACTGAAGTTTTTCCCACAGTCAGAGCAGATGAAGGATTTCTCCCCTGCGTGGATTTCCCTATGTGTAACAAGGTCTGATCTCTCACTGAAGCTTTTCCCACAGTCAGAGGAGTTAAAACACGACTCTCCTCTGTGGGTTCTCTGGTGTCTAAAAAGATTTGAGCTCCTACTGAAGCTTTTCCCACAGTCAGAGCAACAAAAGAGTTTCTCCCCTGTGTGGATTCTTTTATGTCTTTCAAGGTCTGACCTCTTACTGAAGCTTCTCCCACAGTCAGAGCAGCTGAAAGGGTTTTTTCCTGTGTGGATTCTCATATGATTAATAAGATGTGATTTCCAGCTGAAGCTTTTCCCACACTCAGAGCAGATGAAGGATTTCTCCCCTGTGTGCTTTCTCCTATGTATATTAAGATGTGATTTCCAACTGAAACTTTTCCCACACTCAGAGCAGCTGAAGGGTTTCTCCCCTGTGTGGGCTCTCCTATGTGCAACAAGGCTTGAACTCTCACTGAAGCTTTTCCCACAGTCAGAGCAGCTAAAGGGTTTCTCTCCTGCGCGGATTTTCCTATGTGTAACAAGGTCTGATCTCTCGCTGAAGCTTTTCCCACAGTCAGAGGAGTTAAAACACGACTCTCCTGTGTGGGTTCTCTCATGTCTAAAAAGATTTGAGCTCCTACTGAAGCTTCTCCCACAGTTGGAGCAATAAAAGAGTTTCTCCCCAGTGTGGATTCTTTTATGTCTTTCAAGGTCTGACCTCTTACTGAAGCTTCTCCCACAGTCAGAGCAGCTGAAGGGTTTCTCTCCTCTGTGGATTCTCTGATGTTCAATAAGAGTGGCACAGTCATTGTAAGAGGAGGGTTCTTGTTCATGGGGGATTTTCTGTTGAACAGTTTCTATATTTCTTTTCACCCCTCTTCTCTTGTGACTGGAGTTACCCTGTCCCTTCTCTGGATGGTTTCTCTCCTGCCTGTCTGGGCCATGCTGATTCTTACAGGCCTCTCCCTGCTCAGATATCTGGGAAACATGCCCTTCAGATCTTTCCAATAACATCCCATGTAGAGCCATTCCGCTCCAGAGCTGCCTGCTGAAGACTCTCCTCTTCCTTCTCACTCAGCATCCCATCACCTGCAGGGATAGAGAGAGAAACCAGACATGAGTCATTCCCTGTGCTGAGCTGAACGGAAACTCTGAATAGGGAACAGAAAAGGGGAACACGCCCAAATAATCCTAGAAACATCAATAATCATGAGCTGAGCCCATCCTCCTTCCCCATAGCCCTTTCCCAAAGGAGAAAGTCTAACCTTTGCAACTCCAGTCAGAGAGGGGGGGGGAAGACAAGCTAAAAAGTCAGTTAGACTTGATGAAAATGCACAAGTGACACCTGCTTGAGGACACAGAAATTAGTTTGTCAGTTTAACTGATTATTAACCTGTGTGGGCGTCACTGATTATCTCCCCTTCCTCACAGACCTGGAGATCTGGGATCCGCAGCTCCTCCCTCGCTCCACCCAGGAGATCACATGAGCTTTCAAGACTGGAAATCCTGCTTGGGGGAGTAATTAACCAAATACAGATTTTGTTCATTAACAGGGCTCGCCAAGCCATGGCAAGCCCTGCTCGCCAGCCGTGCTATCCAGTGTTCTGCGCATGCATAGACCGTTCTGCGCAGGCGCAGATCGCCTGAACCCGGCTCTTCTGGGATGTAATCTACTCGCCATGGGTGAGTAGATTACATAGATTGTCAAGCCCTGTTCATTAAGGTCTGAGCCATTATTGCTTCCAGAGCCAGGATCTGAGCCACCCATCCACAGAGGCTCCTTCCCCACCTTGCAGAGATTGGACGGTACAAGATCCCGGGACACACCTGTGGTAAAGGTGCATCACCCCCTGCCTGAGGAATGGCCCGGCTGATTCCGTGGAGGACCTGAGTGCTCTGCTGCACCCTGGAGGACAATGGATCTTAAAGTGTGGTCCATGGACCACTAGTGGTCTGTGACCATCTTGCAGGTGGGCTGCAGGCTTGGGACTTGCCTTTGAGCCTTCAGTGTGAAGCCAGTGCTGGTGCACTGAGCCCCCCTCCAAAGTTGGAGCGCCAGCACCAGCTTCCCACTATGGGGGAGAGCCAGCCTGTGAGCATATTATGACTTACAGGAGAAGGAAATGGCTCTGTGTGCTGCCACTCTCTTCCCCTCTGGCTGGAAAACACTCACCTGTAGGCTTCCCTACAGAATTCTGGCCAATGGAAGCAGTGGGGAAGGGGAGGTGGTGTCTAGGAGTGGTGGGAAGTATGGAGACAGGCAAGTGACTGTTATGGCTTCACTGCAGCCTCCTCTGCACTTTTTAAAATATTCACCCGCCCCAGGACACTAGGATGACGTGTCTCCACAAAGGCAGCGTAAAGGCTTTACAATTAAAAACACACCGATCCAAGTCAGATCCTGCATCAAGTTCTGCTCAGGTAGAACTCCTCAGCTCTCTGTACCAGATCTGTCTCCCTCCCATCAAACGAACCTCTCCCACGAGATGTCCACCAGCTGTCAACTGAAACTCACCTTGGCCAAATGTAAGTGCTTCCTCTGTCCCTGCTGATAGGAGATGCCACACCTGTTGGCCTAGAACTACAGAGAAAAGATCTTGGGGTTTACTCTATAATTCTAGCAGTGGAACATAGTGGGGCCGCCACATTCCTCCTCCTCATCACATAATTACATGGTCTGAGATATGCCAAGAATAACATCGACAATATTAGGAGGAAGTTAACACCAGCTCCTCACCCCAGCCCCAGAGTTGCCTCAACAACACGAAAAAGGAGGCTCAGCTTGGACTGACCTCACTCTTGGCACCCCACCCACTGTGCAGCCTGCTCCCTCCTGCCAGGCTCTAGCAAACACCAGTAGCTGCAGCCCAGCTGGTGCTGGGATGCTCCAAATAGCCCACTCCCACCTCGTCCCACTGACCCTGTCACCCCTCCCCCTATTCTCCCAAGCTACCCCATCACATGACCATCTTCCAATCCTCTGCAGGGTCCAAGAGGCACCTCGTTAACAGAATCCCTCACGCAGCTCCACTCACTGGGTCTGTGGCCATTCACTTCAGGTGCAACCATGCAGGCAGACACCTTAGAGCAGTGGCTTGCATCTGCCGGTCCATGGACCAGTGATGGGCCGTGAACTGCTGGCTGCTGGGCCACGGCACACTTCCTGAGCACAGGGGCGGGTGAAGCGCTAGGACTCAGAAGCAGCCAGCAGGAGTCTGGGAGCCCGTTGCTCAACTGGACCTGGCAGCAGCAGCAGGAAGTGATTCTTGGCTCTGGCCGGGCAGCAGGAAATGACTTACAGTCTCTGCTTGCTAAGACTCCGGGGTCAGACAAAGGCCAGATCCCTGAAGCCTGTGAGGAAGGAGGGTGATGGAGCTGCTGGGCCCCACAGCTCAGGCTGCAGCCAGGAGAGTGAAATCTCCCACAGGGCCAGTGGTATTTAGAAAGCTGTGCTTGGGGAGCCACTCCCAAGGAAGCACCCCCAGCCCTGCCAGTCCCTGCCCCAGGGCCAGCCGCGCTTCAGGACAGGTCAAAGGCCCTCCCCTCCACCCCCCGGGAACAGGGTCCCAGTGATGCAGGATGTCACGTTACTGAATTTTAAGGGGAGCAGCCAGATCACTGCTGCACCCATGGGGGCGGTGTTTGCCCCAAAAGTTGGTACAAAGGGGGCCATGTGAGGTGTCAAACGAAAGCTTACCTTTTACTGATTCTGTATATGCTATGCAGGTAATTGTATAACATCTGTATGTGAGTTATAAACATGTACTCTGTTGATGCTGGAAAATTTTCTGTCTGAGGCAGAGCAATGGGCCAGGAATGTTTGCTCAATGGCTAGGCTGATGAGCGAGGCTCCAGGGACAATAGATCTCTAAATGCCTGGCCACTGACCATGTGACCTCTAGTAACCTACTCCAGCTGGGAAGATGTCAGAAGAGATATATAAGTGCCATGTGGCATCGGAAGATGCCAGAGGAGATATATAAGTGCCATGTGGCATCCTCCATTGGGTCCTCAGATTTGCTCTTAATCCCAGATGCAGCCTCGCAGGGAACTATGAGCTGGAAAGAACTGTGGACCCATCCTGACACAGGATGTACACCAAAGACTTTTAAGCCAGCAGTTATAACATCTCTGCTATGAGCCTGCATCAAGAACTGGGAGATTGGATGCATGTAATGTATTCTACTTTAACAACTTTACTCTCACGCTTTTCTTTCTTCTAGTAATAACCTTTAGATTTTGGATTCCTCTAGTAACCTACTCCAGCTGGGAAGATGTCAGAAGAGATATATAAGTGCCATGTGGCATCCTCCATTGGGTCCTCAGATTTGCTCTTAATCCCAGATGCAGCCTCGCAGGGAACTATGAGCTGGAAAGAACTGTGGACCCATCCTGACACAGGATGTACACCAAAGACTTTTAAGCCAGCAGTTATAACATCTCTGCTATGAGCCTGCATCAAGAACTGGGAGATTGGATGCATGTAATGTATTCTACTTTAACAACTTTACTCTCACGCTTTTCTTTCTTCTAGTAATAACCTTTAGATTTTGGATTCTAAAGGATTGGCTCCGCATGATTTGTGGGTAAGATCCAGAGTGTAAATTGATTGGGACCTGTGGCTGGTGTCTTGGGACTGGGAAGAACCCGTTTGGAGTAGGCAAGATTGGGCTCTAAAACCCTTCACCTGCGTGTTAGGCCCGGGGCTGTTAGGGGCACAGATAGGGCTGGGGTGTCAGAGGGGTTTTGCTCATGAGGCTTCTGGCCAGCCAGAAAGGCAGCTGAAGCGCTCTGTGCGACTGGTTTGTGGCCTATTTAGGAAGGGCATCCAGTCTGGGGCTGTACAGAGCCCCGAGTTTGAGCAATTCACCCTGAGTGGACAGCTGTGCCCAGACTCGGCCTGGTCCGTCAAATAGAGGGAGGCAGAAGGCGCTGAAGGGAAGTTGCGGAATTCAGGGGAGACATGGAGTAGATGGGAGCAAGGGTACAATAGAGGGAAACTCTCAGGGAGGATCACAGGGAGGGAAAGGGGGATGCAGGAAGGGAAGGCTGGGGGGATCCTGAGAGAGCAAGAGCAGCCTGGCTGGGGAAGAGGGAGACACAGGGCAGGGCTTGTACAGAAGGAGATGGGGGAGATACAATGGCAGCTTCCTCACTCCATGGAGCAGGAGGGGGGAGGGCAAAACTGATTGCTGGTAGCACTTGGGGACACCAGCTCCTGTGCCCCAACAAAATATCTAAAGTTTCAAAACAAGGTGCCCCAAATGCCCCCTTCCACCCCTCTCCTTGCACCCCTCCCTCTGCAGGCACCAGCTGCCCCTAGGGTAGGAGCTGTCCCACTCAGCAGCCAAAAGGGAAATTTTTTTGTGATTTCTTTTAATATTGATATCTGCAAACTCTGATCTGTTTGGGACTGGTAACTATTTGCATATTTATTACTCGCATAATGAACATGCAAATACAACGCTACCAGTTTGTGACTGGGATGGGCAGTCCCCGGTGCATGAGAGTTTGGGAACCGCTGCCTTAGCGGGAACGCTGCCAGAATGAAGGCGGCACTGATGGAACTGCAGCAGCAGGGCAACCCAGCAAAGGAGGGGCTGCCCAGAAAATCAGCGACTGCAGCAGCAGCAGTAGCCTCAGCAGCAGCAAACCAAGCAACTCTATGGGCTTCTCTCTGTGCCCCACAGAGCAGCAGGGATCTCAGCAACAGCTTGCCATGAACTTGCCAGCGGGCCCTGGGCTCCCTGCGTACCCGAACCCCCTCTAGTGCCTAACACAGCAGAAGCCCCATTCTGCTGGCGGCCAGAGGGGTTGCTAAGGAAAGGGAAAGACAGGAGGAACAAACGGGCAGTTGTAGAATGAAGAGGGGCAAGTCAAGGTCAGACCACAAGACTATGAAAGTGGCCCCAGGGGATTTGTCTGTCTCCCCTGCCGCCCAGTATTTTGATACCACCAGCAGCTGGCTGTGCTGTTTGAGATGTCTTCTCCGAAATCTCTGAGGGTATGTCTACACTAGTCCTCTAGTTTGAACAAGGGAGGCTAATGTAGGCATTCGAAGTTGCAAATGAAGCCTGGGATTTAAATATCCCAGGCTTTATTTGTACGTTCCCATCAGGTCGCCATTTTGAAATTCCACTAGCCCTAAGTAACTGCCCATGGCTACATGCAGCAGTGAAACAGCAATTTGAACTCCTCATTCCAGGAGGAGTAACAGTTAATTCGAACTAAGGACTTAGTTTGAATTGCCGTTTCACTGCCGCGAGTAGCCGCGGGCAGTTACTTCGGGCTAGTGGAATTTCAAAATGGTGACCAGATGAGAACATGCAAATAAAGCCCGGGATATTTAAATCTCGGGCTTCATTTGCGACTTTGAATGCCTACATTAGCCTCTCTAGTTCGAACTAGGGGGCTAGCGTAGACATACCCTGAGAGCTGCAGAGATCTCCTCAGCTCCTGAAAGCTGGGCTCTGTCACCAGACCTGCTCCACGGCCTGAGGGTGGAAAGCTCCAGCCTGAATTCCTCTTGCTCACCCCCAGCTTGTGGCACAGGGAGTGGAGGTTCCTTGAGTGTCCCTGATGCTGGTGTCACCACAGTCTGATCTCCTGGACAATGGGTGGCAGGACTGGGTGGACCTCAGGGTGCTTGCCCAGTATATAGCGCTGCTGATGCAACATGTCCCCCAGGAGATAAAGGCTGCCCTGTTGCCTGCCTCTGTGCCTGTATCACCTGCCTCGCTAGAACTTAAGGTCAGGCCCCTGCTTCCTCAACTCCCACCCATCACTCAGCCTCCCATTTCAGCTGTTTCATACTGAGGGGCAGCGTTCTGGGTGCTGACTGAGCTGGTACATTTGTTCGGGTGGGATACATCTCACTGTACCTGTGCTAGAGTAGCTGGGACACTAGCATCATGTTCCTTCAACAGTAAACCTGGCCAAGAGCGAACAGAGCCTGTGTCTTTCTTCAGCAACATCCCTGAGCTGTGGGGCATGGACAAGCAGCACACTCTGCCAGTGTTGCACAAGGGTGCCCCCACAGGCACTAACAGCAGCCAGACACAGACCCACCTGCTGATCTTGCCTGGCCCCTTCCATGAACACCTGTGGCCAAGGCACAACATGGGCAAGATGATGGGGAAGCACATGGAGACCTTGGCTGTGGGAAGAGCAGCACCACTGTTATGTCCTTGAACCTGCTTCCCCTGGGAGAAGGCATGGATGGGACAGTCTCTCACACAGGAGCCAAGATTATTGGAGCTGATACTCCTGACACTGGGGGGCAGAGGACATTGAAGGGCCTCAACCAAACCCAACCCAAATCCTCCAGAGCCCAACCCAGCTTCTGATGCCCGAGGGGACAGGAATCCTTACCCAGCCAGCTCACAGCCTCATAATTCTCCTGCATCACATCCCTGTAGAGGGCTCTCTGGCCCAGGTCCAGCAGACCCCATTCCTCCTCAGAGAAACACACAGCTACCTCCTCAAAGCTCACCGGCTCCGCCACAGCCATCTCCTGCCCTTGGCTCTGCAGGCCAGGGGCTGTGCTGGAGACAGACATGGGAGTTCTGCAGCCTGTCGGGGGAGAGGAGCAATTGGAGACATTTCAAAAAGAGCTTTAATCCTTTCCACACACCCATTCTCCCCAGATTCTGTCCCTGGTGACACACGTGCTAGACTCTGCCCTGGTGGGCAAAAGTTTGAGTCTAGATATTCCATAAACACCACAAACAAGTTAGATCCTAAATCCATATTCATTTCTCTCCGTACCTGGCTTGAGTTTCAACATTACTGCACCTGCAACAATGGGATTCTGTTCTCAGCAGCCAGGTTGTGTCTACACTGGCACAATCTTGCGCCAAAGCGGCCGCTCTAGCGCAAAAACTTGCTGCCTGTCTACAATGGTTACGTGTTCTTGTGCATGTGAACTGACGTTCTAATGTATGAAATCAGGGCTTCTTGCTCCAGAACTCTGACGCTCCCACTCAGGAATAAGCCCTTTTGCGCAACTGTTCTTGCACAAGAGGTCAGTGTAGACAGGCAACATGAATTTATTGTGCAAGAAAGCCCTATGGTTAAAATGGCCATCTGAGCTTTCTTGCGCAAGAGAGCATCTTCACTGGCATGGATGCTCTTGCGCAAAAGCACATGCCAGCGTTGACACTCTCTTCTGGAAGAGTTTTTGTGCAAGATCACGCCAGTGTAGACGTAGTCCCGGTGTTTTTGATAACAAGCCACATATTTATCTGCTTGAACACAGACGTAGGTTAAATTTAGGCTGCTGTATTTAAAACCCTTAGTCTTCATTCATTGATTTGCAGCGCAAACTTTGGTTCTCTCATCTGACAGAGACTTTATAAACCTTCTCCACAACAGAAATTAAGTGAAGTTAATACAAGTATTCAGGCGCTTATTAAACATGTGTGCTGAGTGTTTGCAGGATGAGATCTTAAAATTCATGGATTCTTGGGATCAGAAGATATCCTTAGTCATGCAGTCTGACCCCCTTTGTGGCATAAGCCCTTGCTTGCACTTAGCCCAGTTACCTAGGCACAAAGCTCACTTTCTCCAAAGCATGTTTTCTAGAAAGTCGCCCAGTGTTGATTTGAAGACATCAAGAGATGGAAAATCCACCAGTTCTTTGCTCATTTGTTTCAGCATCTAATCCTCTTCCCTATCAAACATTTGTGCCTTTTTTCTAACCTGAAATTCTCTGGCTTCAGCTTTCAGATATTGGCTCTTCCTGAGCCATATCCACTAGACCAGGATGGGCAATACAATTTCATGGGGGGCCACTCCACGATTTTGGAAAATGGCTGAGAGCGACACTCTTCCATGACATTAATGGAAGAAATGCAGGGTCTGAGATAGGAGTTGGGAGCAGAAGGGAGCTTGGGGTAAGGGATCCAGGAGGGAGACAGGGGAGTGGAAGAGAGTTTGAGTGAAGGAGGCAGGTGTGACCTTGGGCACTGGATTAGCCTGGACTCATTAGATATTTAAATTAACTTTAATTTAGGAAGTGGCTGAGTGGACAAATAAGGGACTGTGGGTTTCTGACCACTGGGAACTTCTTGCAAATATAGATACAGGAGGAAGACAGAGAGTTTGGGTATGTAGAGAGGGGAGCAGAGATTAGGAGGGAGAGGTTGGGATGCCAGAGACAAGCTCTGCCCAGGAGACATACCTGAGTTACTCCTGACCAGTACCCAAGCACCTTTCTCAGGCAGGCAGGGAGCCTGCCCGACCCTCGCACAGACTGCAGTGCCATGTGCGTGTATGAATAATTAAGAGCTGGAATAGAGGGGATGTGGTGCTTAGTTTCCGGCCAGAAACCGGCCAATGGGATTGCCCTGGGGTTGGAAGTAACACCTGAAGCCTTTCCCTCCCTCTCCCCCAGGCTCACAGTCACTTTGTGAGTGGCTTGTTGACGGGGCATGTCAAGCATGGAACCAGCTCGTGGCTCCCCCAACATCCGTGGGTCTCTCAGTCGCTTTGTGAGATTGGGCGTGGCAGGCACAGACCCAGCCCACAGCTCCCCCAGCATCTGTGGGT